GTGTTAGTTCCTCTTAGCTTACATACGGCTTTGCCGATACAACTACTTCTCCCTCTCCCCAGACGTGGTTGGTTTCAGGTCAATAGTTAAGTTGGAAAAAAAGTTCTAAATATTATATATATATTAAATATTTTTCTATTTCTTCGTTTAGGGCCTTGTACCACGTCCCGGCGCTAGAATCGATGACACTGTTTATATCATAAATCGCAGCACAATCTTCGGTCATATTGGTGTAATGAACTTAATACCGGAGGATGTTTACACCATTGAAAAAATCATAAAAAAGTCTGGAGCCATGCTTAATAAACGTGCCTCAACCTACACTTTGTTCGCACTGAAGCAATCGTTCTTCATACCACCCGAAACACTAGCCGAATCCACGCTCATTAGTGATATAATAGAGGACGTATTCGAGAATCCCATAAGCGAATTTAATTTCTTAACAATACGTTGTGGTGATTCAATGCGTGCCATGGAGAACAATATCATTGTGGGGTTTGCAATAATACGGTAATTATAAAATGAATAATGATATTCCTCTAGTCCCCTATCCCCTAGTCTAAAATAGTTTTGGTGGGTAATTTGCAAAAAATTTGCATACCCTAGTGGAGTATTATGGTCGGATCTTAAGCAACATTAATATTACTGGCGAGGAAATACCTTAACAACCGACTACACAGCGAAAGATGCAACAGAATATAGAAAACGGCAATCCCTAGGGTTGTCAGAACTTTGCTCTTCGAAACTTTTTTACAGCGGCCATTGTATGGCGAACCCTTTCCGCATACAAATAGTAAAAAAAACTCATAGATTTTTACTATCCCACCCTAACAGACCTTTTATTCGACAACATGAACTGGAGTATAAATATGTTTTCATGCGTCACGAGGTGTCTTTGAGTCAAAATCCCGGTGAAATTGTCTTATTAAAGTTACATCCGAATTACATTTGGGAATCGGATGCAATATTCCGGCAAATATCCTGTGCCACTGGTTATTGGGAACTATATTATGTGGCACCAACTATGGTGAGTATTAAAGAGAGAAAGAGCTTGACAAAATGTGGACTTCAAATATATCTTTATTTACTCAGAGTCATACCAAACCCTTAATTAACGATTTGGTGAAACAAATGCAACCGATTGAACCGCGACCCATCGCACAATTACATCGCCGTAAATACAACAAGCCGAAATCGACAACATCAGACCGACTCAGCCAACAAATACCCAGTATTGGTGATGAAAATGTCGCTCTCTACTATCATAATTTATTGCCATCAAAGTCATTCGGCAATAAAGAGCCAATTATTATAATCGGTTTCAATAGTTTGACGCGCGCTTTACTTCGTGTATTACTTTTCAATTTCAAGAATGCTGGGTGAGCATATAAATATTATACCATGCAAAGTGTAAATAGAGTGCTTTAAATTTGTCTCTTGCCTTCTCAGCGACAAGAACTGCCATTGTTGCCTGCCACGCCTACGCGTCGTCATCATCGCAGCAGCAGGTGTGGTGGAGAGCGCCTACGACAATGATTTTCATTGTGAGATCTGTACAGAGCAAAATAACTGTTATGTTAATTTCGAGAACAGCAATAGTTTTATACGTGACACTACACGTTGCATGGATCTGCGGAAATTTGCCTCTTTCGTCAGTTCGACCGTGAAGAAAATCAAAACGTAAGTGGTTTCGATGTTCTATTTATATACTTGTAATATACTCTTTAACCACCTGCTTATTATAAATACAAAAATTCTAGAAGAAATTATTACTTTAGATTTGATGCGCGGCATAAAAGAGATATCGAATAACCCCATAATATAAAGATACATATAAGGTGGTACTCGGTAGCTTGAGCTAAGAGCTTCGGCACGAAAACTAAGCAAATATACCATATACTTGTAGACCTTTCCTCAGTTCCCAAACTCATAAGTGATGATCGTAGTTTTTAAGCGATCGGCGGACAAGGCTTGTTTAAATTAGTGAGGCATTGTTATAATCCGCTTTTTAGTTAGTGTACGAGTATACCATAATAAGAACGCCAACAATTTAATGCTCCTTAACCGCCACACAATTCGCTAAAACACTTTAACACAACTTAACTAGTTAATGCACACATTTTGTTTAAACTAAATTTTTGCAGAGAAGATCGAGCAGTTGTATTAGCCAATGGATGTGAAATGTACTATGGTAAACTCATCTTCTCAATGAGTCAGCGTTTTGGAAAACCACCAGCCGTCAAACGCGATCCACGCGCCACAAACTACATACAAATCAACAGTCGCTTCGATAAAATCACAATGTATCACAAACTTGAAGCCATACGTAAAGACCAGAACTCCAATGATATCAATATAATCGTATTCGGTACACATCTGGGTACCTATGAGTTCATAAATTTTCTTATTAATCATAAAATACCGCCTCAATTCATAACATTGGTCATACCATGGGACGCTAAGTCTCGGGAGTCATGCATTAAATATAACATCAGCAATATGGATATGAATATAGAGATGATATTGCAGGGTATGGTGGAAGATTTGGGCGTCAAGGTCGAGGCGCATTGGATATTGAAGAAATGGATATACTACTATAATGAAAAGATCATCTCACATGCAGCTTTCGAAAATTATCCCAACGGTACCTTAGTGACAATGGCATGTGACCTATTTGTCAGCTTTCATCCGCATATTATCAGCACAGAACTTGTCGATTGTGAGTGAACTTTGTAAATGCTTACAAGTATATTAATTTATAGACATATTTTGACACTGTCTAGTACTGGAGAGCACCGGTATTGATATGGAGGACTCATTAGTGTTGGTCGATGAAAATTTCCGCACTAGCGATCCGAATATTTATGCCGTTGGCAATTGCACGCGTTTGAGAAATAAGCGGAATCATCAATATGTTCATGTGGCTAAAGAGGAGAAAGCGGCTAAGGTGAGTTAAAGTAATAGGTAATTTTTCCATAATGATATAAGTTTACTTGTGGAATCCGATGTTAAGTTTCTATGACTCTGTGCACATTACTATCTTCAAGAGTTATTATTATAATTGATGATATTTAGAAGAAAAATCTTGGTATCGAGAATATTTTAGGGGCTATAGTCAATACTTGTTGATGATCAGAAGCTATTAGGTTTGTCTGGTATATTTTCTTTCGGTAGTTAGAAATAAATATTTATTCCCTAACTTCAGGCGGTCGAATTATTATATTAAAGAGAGAAAACATGTTTTTCTTTTGTACTAATAACGGAGCCCTTGCAATAACAATTATACTAATGTTATTTAAAAATTTTGAGATTTAGTACGATCATGTGATCAGTTATAAAATGATGCATCAAAACACAAAGTCATAATATTTAAGTAAAAATTATGGGGTTTTTAGTTTATGGTAATCTAAGATGAGTAAAACAAGGCAATGATTGAGGAAGTGTCCCTGAGATATTATATCGACCTTGGAGCTGCTATTTCACATCATTACTGTACAGGGTGAGCGGCGATGAATCGGTTGTTTATGAACTACTCACTAGTGGCCGCAAAAAGAATATTCAACTTACTATAACACAATTTCAAGTGATTTTCTTAGTTTATGGTAAAATTTTATCATGTACTGTTATATGTTGGATTACGTGATATAATGATGCGATGTGACTTGAAGTGAAGTAGAGATGTGATATAATATATATTCGACGTGATGTTAAGCAATCAAATTGTATACAGAAGATCCAACGAATATGCGTACCTTAAATGACAAGTGATATGATGTGATGAGACGTCACATGATATGATATGACATCATATTTTTGTAATAATTTTTTATAAAATATATGTATTCTTATAATCGTAACCACAATATAATAACAGGCAGTCATATGTATTTTGTTATGATAATACATCATATGATAGTATTTGTGTAAAAAATCGAATTGATAATTATCTTTTTGGTTATTAAGAAAAACTACGGATAATTTTTATGTAAAGGTAGCTGTGAGATGATGTAATATAGCATAAGAAGTGATTGTTTATATCATATGATTATGATAACTAAAAATATACAAAACATTTGTAACAAAAATGCTTATTTTTATTATTTTTAATACTTCAAAAGCACATATGAAAACTTTTTTATAAATCAAACTTTTTTACAAACTTTTTTTTAAATCACAGCTAATTAGAAGCCTTAATCTGCATCAGGATGATGATGCAGTAAACACTGAGAAATATCTACAACCAGTTTACTTTCAAGCGCAACTACCACTAGGCCATTATATGGCTAAAGCGATCTTACCTAAACGATATATCGCCAATCATTTGGATAACAATTATATGCTCACACTAGTCACTTATGATGGGAATTTCTCGCGCGTGCGCATCAACGAACATGGCATTGTAGAGGAGATCACCTGTGTCACCAGAAATGTAAGAAAAGTATTATTTTTTTTAACTGAAATTCTTTATTTTATATTGTATAATATTTATAATTATTTCCTTCTTATTTAATATAGAAACGTAGCTTTGATCATCTGCAATATTTTGTGGGTCAGCATCAGGCATTGCTGAATGATTTACACACGCGTTGGTATCTCAAGGACATCACCAGTTTTGTTGAATTCTTCGAAGAACCCTGGACCGAACTGATCATGCATCCCAACTTTGATAGTTTGAGCAGCCGGCTTCGTACGTTTGGCATGGAAATGGCCAAGGATATTATGAATTTGGTGAGTTAGTGGAGACAGTATATTACGAAAGTTTTAGTACACATATACACGTGAATATATACTTTGTGCACAGGACATAGGTATGGATCGGCGAAAACGCAAGCAATTCATGAAACAGTATATGGCCGATGCGGGACATACGGATGAGGTGGAGAAAACCTTACTGCGTTTTTTACGCAAACATCGCGATGACTTCATATACCCGTTTGCATTGCCCGAGGACTTTCACCTAAATCTATCGAGCAAGTTGAATATATAATTATATTTTAATACTTTGTTTTATAACAGATTTGATTTTTATTTGTCTACCAAAAATTAGCAAGTGTTACGCCTGTTCTTATACATATGTGCCTAAATATAATATATATTTTTCGTTATTTTCATAACATATACACCTACTAAATATTATATAAATAAACAATTGGTGGATATATTTATATGGAGCCGATAGCACACTGTGTAACAAATTGTTTCGCCAAAGCGCACTCTTCATTATCGGTCCAACGATTTGACGGACAATTCATGAAGTACTCCATGTGGACACAACTGAGCAGTATGCCGGAGAAGAGACTGCAACGCCGTTGCGAGAGCGCGCCACCACCGAACGACATTTGCTTGATCGATTGCATTCTTTGCTGCGCCACTGACTCACATTTCCTGTAGGCTGTCATCATAGTGTTCACATAGGTCGTATCATTGCCGGATTTGGTTTGTAGATAATTTTGCACAGCTTCAAAGTTGATCTCCTCAGGCGCTGACAAGTGCTGCAACTCTTTAACGATGCACTCAGCGAAGCACTGTCGGTAAGAGTCGTGTAAGTCGAGAGAGTGTATGTAGAAAACTTCACTTTATATAGTACTTACTGTGACGTCCTCCAAAGGCGTTGCGCCGTTTTGTTTCTCAAAAGATATGCCCAATCGTTGAGCGCACGTTTCCATGACTGCTGCACGTTCGTCGTTTTTACAACAAAATGACGGTTGCTGGGGAGTTAATGAAAAAGAAACCGCAATGAAGAAATAATTCAAAGTATTTAAAAAAATGTGAATTTTGGAGAAGAAAAATGTCCATTATAAATGTTGTAAAGTTACACCATTCACAGAACTTGCATTCTACCGGCTTACTGCTAATTAGTCGCTCTAAGTGAAATTTCAAAAATGAGGTTCTCAATGCTAGATTCAATTTTACTCAGTTTCCGCGATTATATTATTTGCGAATTTCGAATTAAACCACCACCAGTCGCAACCTTCTTCGACTCAAGCTGATCTAAAACCCAAGAGCCCAAATTGCATTCAGCTTTATAGCTGGAGACTAAACAAAGGAATCGGCTACAGTTGATTCAAAAAAACTGACTGACTGAAGAGTACCAACGACATTTGGAGTCCTCTTCTAGGAAGCTTCGTGTTTTGTCAGTTGTTGGGGTTTTCAAATACCTACTGATCAAGTGTTTATCTGAGTTTTCGTCTGACTTTTCGTTCGCTAAATGTGATGGGCTTAGAAAAAATATGCGGGAATATCTCCTCACAAATATGGTCGTATACAAAGTAGGCGGCATTACCTAAAAGAAAACCTCCGATTGATAGTTTTGCGGTGGCTACTTAGCTTTAAAATGGCTTTAAAATTTATAGTAAGCTCAAGCCCTCAGAAAAGTCGATCATCCTCGATCTATCTGTGGAGACAAATTTGAAGCCAGCTCCGACAGTTGATATGTTTAGGAAAATTTAGTTATTAGGCGTTATATTAATGGAGCCAAAGTTCTGTATGATTCTAGTAAGCTCACCTAACCACTAGAACGGAACAGCTTGTTAGTTCTCACAGCTAAAAAAAAAATTTCGTAATAGAAGAGGGTTACTATTTAGATACTTCAAACAACGCGAGAATAATCAAAATTGGTAATTTGGAACCATTTAAGGGAAAATTAAGTCCAAGGGCTTTTAACGATGTAGAAAATAATTATTATGATTCACACTTAGACTTACCACTAATTGTGGTGGTCGACTGCAGTCAATCTCCACGGCATCCGTATACTTAACGGTATATAAAAGAGAAAAACAACACAAAAATTGCTTTTAGTAAACTTTCTTTTAAAAAAACATTGACATATAATTTTGAAGTAAAAAGGAACTCACGCTGTAGGCCAAAAACGCACAGAGCAAAACTAATTCGATTTTAAGCATTATTTTTATTTAAAAAATATTCGAAATGCACAAAATTAACTGCTCATCACCTGTTGAGTTTAGCAAATAATTTAACAATGAACACACGCTGTTGCTTTTATAAGTTAGATGCACTACTGAAATGATATATTTTTAATTTAAAAAAATATAATTAAAAATAAAAACAAATTTATTTGTATTCTCTGTTAAAAAAAATATATATTTGTAATAACCAATTTTTTAATGTAATTGCTTACAATTTAATATTATATTTATATAAATTATAAATACTTTTTTATTTTTATATAATTTTTTTTTTTTAATTTTTTATATATTTCCAAAATAACAATTTTATTTATTTAATTTTTTTTTATTAAGTTTCCCAAAATCTAACAACTCACTGTAGCAAAATTGTTGAAGACTGAATTCAAATGCGCGCGTTTGTTATAAATTTATACCGAAAACGAAAGAAAAAAAAATTAACAAAAAAATTCTAAAGCATTAATGCAACAACAACAAAGAGTGATTGGCTTATGTCTGAATATTAAAATAATTATTATACCGACTTTCTGTCGCATCATCTACAATTTTTTGTTGTATTGCTTGTTGTTGCTTTTACTAGTTCGGTTTGACCACTTAGCGACGCCGACCACGCATGACCAATGACCAATATTGTTGAACCTGTAACCTCAATATAGTTGCAACCCCCAACGCAGAACGCTCCACTGGCTGCACTGACTGTCAGGTGGCCGCACTGCTTCTGCTGCGTGTCACATGCTCGTTGCTGTTTGCTGCAAGTGACAGCCTCTTGACTGCAGCGAATTGGCGATTGGCGGCCATGCGCGAAGGTTAATTTTACTCATTTATTCTACGATTTTCATAAAATCGTATGCCATGGCAAGTTTGTATGTATTTTTTTTAATGTCAAAAAGTAATTGTTGTTGAATGAACTTGAAAAAACTGTTACTCTTTTGGTGGCGACAATTTTTGATAAATTTCAGATAAAAGTAAAATTTTTGGTTGTCCGAGGCAAATATTTACAACTCAAAGGTAACGAACAAACTTAATGACGCAGTCGATTACCTGCCTATTATTTACTGTCAAATATTTTAGCGTATTGTTTAGAAAAGGGTTATGAGTATGTATGTAAGTAATTAGTCATATAAAGCTGTAGTAATAATAACTCTTTATTGTTACAATTGAGCGCTAGTAATTATCATATGGAAAATTTAAGTGAAAGTGATAAAAAATACAGTAAAGTGGGTCACAAATATCGGTCATAGGTAAATACATACATATATGCATGGATATGTATTTATATGTACAAATATGCAATAGTACATATATATTTACGTCAGTGCTTATAAGCATGTGCAGATATCAGCAAATACCTACGAGAGCAGTTTGATAAATCAGAGTGATCTTTGCAGATATACAAGTACATGTGTATTATGATCCTCTCAATTTATATTTATATTATATATATATTGTTGACATTAAAAAAAAAATATATATATATTATATATATACTCTATAATACATTTTTTAGTAAAGTTTACTTTATTTAATAATGCCTATATTAAATGAGCGATGTAATTTTATTCGAAATGGCCACCTTTTGCTTTCACACAAGCTCTCGAGCGAGTTGGCCATTGATCAAGAGCAGCACGCACAGTTTTACTGGTATTGACGACGATGCTCGAACTAAGCATTTTTTTAATAATCTCCAAATTTCCGTGCGGTATTTTACAGACCATGTTCTCCAACTGTAGTCCAATGGTATCAAATCTGTACTTCCAGACGGTCAATCATCTGCAGCTAGCTAAAACATCCTACTGGTACATTTCTGCCCAGTTTTAACCCCTTTTTTACAGAAATGAAGAATTGTAACGCCTTTTTAGGATACTCACCACCATTACAGCGGCTGTGTGGTGATCACGTTGAAACCTTGGAATATAATTGTTTTCCTCTTTGAAAGTTTCTATGTAGATTTTGTCGTTTTGGTTATTAAAAACATCATTAAAAATTAATTTTACCCTTTTAACCCACAAGCCTATTGTTAATTTCAAAAAACCGGTACTGATCGAAGGAATAGTCAAAATGTTTATTTTAGACAAAATTGCGGCTATCCAGAAAAGGTTGTTTATTGTGTAAACACTTCAGAGTGGTTTAAAAAATCGAAGTTATTATCAAAAATCCTTTAATTATTCCCTGACAAATATTCAAGTCAATCGGTCTAGCCATTTCAGAGAAATTTTCCTCAACAGCTCCGAAAACTGCGTTTCGAGAAAAACGCGTTTAAAGTTGTGAAAGCCGATTACAATAAGTTAAAGAATTCGAACAAATACGCTCATATCTCCGAAACTATTTGCCGAATCAATTCAAATTTTTGGAGAATATTCGTAGATATCTGTACATTTGATATATACATATATGCAAAAATAATCGATTTTTTGAAAATCACAAAAAAATTTAGATATAATCCGTCATTAACATTGCAACGATAGAGCAGAGAATGTTAAAAAATATTATTTCTTTTTGTTATTCTAATTTTCCTTAATACGCATGCCAAAAGACATCTGCGCATACATATGTATATTAGTCGATCCTTTATAAGGTGGTGACAATTTACTTGGTTCCTTTTAAAGTGGTGTAGTTTGTTGAGTTCGATTATCATGAGGGGAAGGTACCTTTTTGATGTGGTGTAATTGAACCAGTCATATACGTATATATATATATATTAATTTACGTTCTCTGCTTCAGCCATTCTACCCGAGTCACACACACATATAATTTTTGTTCATCTTAACCCCCTGTGTCATCATCATCAATACTTGACGGTTAGATGTCGCGCAAATAACTTTATTTGACAGCACAAACAGCGCTGCTCACTGCAATCATTTAATCAACAAGTCTGTCAATAAACTGTCAAATTGGCTCAGTTTTTCTCTGTTGTGTTTTGATTGTCGCCCCAATTTACATTGTCGCGCCGCGTCGCGAAAAAGTGCAAAATTATTAACAATAATTGGTACAAAATCGTTTTGTTGAGTTAATAAACAAATATATTTGTATTGTCGCATAACTGGACACAAACTAAGAATTATCTATACAATAAGACAGCTGTTTGCCTGCTTATGGCTGTCGTCCGTGTTAGCCAGTCCATCCAATTGGCATTTGGTGCCAGCTTCGTTCATTGATCTCCCCACTGACCACTCCGTGTGTTATTGGTGCCAGGTGAGTGAATCACAACAGAATATATAAAGTGTTGATAAGTGAATTAAAGAAATATGTATGTATAATGCTTGCAAATGTATGTGTGTATATGTGTTAATGTTGATTAGAAGGATTCACTGTGACTAATTTGTAAACTCAATTTCACTAATTTTAATTACCAATTTAGCTATATGGTAATCCAATTTAGAACACTACGTATTGATTGGTGTGCTTTTGCTCACTCTCTTATAAGATTATTTTGTTGCGGTGTATATTTTGTAATTTTGTCAAAAATGTTGTTTAATTTTTTAAAATCGTGTTGAATTGGTTAGAAATCTAATAAAAAAAACTTATTGTTGCTATTTTTAAATCATTAATCTAGTAAAGTTTAAATATTAATACTTAATTTCTAATGTTTACACCAAAACACAGGGTAGTTATAGGTACCTAGTGTTTTTTTGCAGCTGATACTAAACGTTGATATGTAACTTGGTTGATTTATATCAGCAATTTGCGAAATCCCAAGCAGTTCTTAAGGAAGGATATTATTACATACGCCGGATCACCGTCAGCATTACATGCATTTTGAAATTGTATACTCACTTGGGTCCACGTGCATTGGGTACAACGAACGCAATTGCATCCGCATTAAAAGCAACAATTGTACCTGTCGTCTAGAGCCTTTCTTCAACTGCTTCATAGGGTTGTAGCGTCTTGTAGTACTTCTTATGGAAAAGCAGCGTCCAGCAGCCGATAAATGAGAACTTCTTGAGGAATAGAAGACGTTTAAAAAAGTTCAGATTTATAACTCAGAAATTTAGGAATATTTTGAGTATTAATAAAGAGATGGATATGTTCAGGTTATAATAAATACGAAATGATTGAAATCCTCAGCGGCAAATGGATTCCGTAAACAACATAATTTAACAAATATGTATATGCATATATGTATGTACATATGTGTGTAAAGATGCATTTACTACAAGTAATTCATTGAGCATTAACACGCAATTAATCACACTAACAATGCGCTAATCATAATTGATGTGGCTGTGGTCAAACGCACCCACCAACACTCACCAAACGAATATAAGAGCATTAATTGTGTTTTTTGTTGTTGCAGGCTGTCACTTTGCATTCTCTGAATTAGATCGAATTAGTGGTGTGTGCAGCGCATTTGAACGCAAACCCACCAATAACAACAACAACTGAAGGAAACTTTGCAGTTGCATTCTAAGCAATTAGAAATTGAAAAACTTTTTCTCAAAATATGAAAAAAGGTTGACTGGCAATTACTTGCTTGTGAGTTCTTAAGTGTTTATATCGTGTGTGCAACTCTGCTGTTGTTGACACCCTAACAAGATGCCTTTTTGATTGCCACAATGATGGCTTTTGATGATAATTTTTATTAAATTATTAAATTAACGCGGCAAGCAGTTATGTGCAGCTAAAATCTTCTTGTGTGTTAATAAGTTTGTTTGTATGTGTGTGTGTGTGTGGGTAATGTTGTGTAGTTTTGTAATTTCAACACTTGAATGCTTACAAATGACCAGTAATTAAAAACGCTTCAAATGCGTACAAACAATTAAACAAGGCTGGAGGCGCGAAGGAGCGCAATGCGTCCAAAAAGTTGCTACAAAAACAACAAATAGGGTTAAATGCATACTTCAGCACAACTACTCACTTTAATGATAGTCACCAAGTGGCGAAGTGAGTTTCTTAGTGCATCGACTTCTATGTAGACACTACGAGACACACATATTTACATGCAATATCTATATAGATATATATGTTTGTACACATGTACATATATATTTTAAATACAAATTGCATTTGCTGCGTAAACAGTCACAACCTTCGAGTTGT